GCTGACACCTTTTCCAGGATGGACGCAGGGCGAGCTGAAGGAGCAAATAGAGGCTGCTGCGATGGGGCGAGGGAAAGTAATTTCTCTAACTGATATATTCAGAGACCTGGGCATCTGGTAGATAGGATGGGAGGAGGAGGGCATCCACGACAAATGCCCTCGTTCACCAATGTAGCCAATATTCATGAAGACCTACAGTTCATGGTAACAAGCCGTATGGTGAAGAAAACGATTGCGTGTAGATGGGATGAATCGCAGAACGTCATCAAAGAAAGGTAGTGAACGAACGACATCTTCAGCGCCTCCTCCAGTTCGCCCAGAAGTATGTGGAGAAAGATCTAGATTACCGGGAAAGAGTAATAAGGACAGAGAAAAATACAGCGGAAATACATGGAAAGCTCCATTGCTGGATGGGATAAAGGGAGTAAATGTTGCTAGCTTTTTCACAAATTGATTTATTTCACTTTACGATACACATGTGTTTATAAATAATAGTGTCCTATACGTCATATTTCATGTTCGGATTCGATATTATTATTTAATTTTCACAAGTGACAGACGAATTATCTAAGAAACGGCGAGGAGTGGCCACGTGAGCTGTGACGTGGGGGTTGATCTTCCTGCATGATGTTGAAACTGGTGGAAATGCCTCCTAGACAAATATATAGAAATAGTTGGAAAAAAATATTCCTCCCATTAGTACGCCCCTATACCTTGGCCATTCTCAGAAACAATCATATTTGCGCAGGATAACTGTCCTATACGAACGTCTAGGGCAGTTACGAAGTGGTTCTGTGACTAAAACCACCCGAATGTCCTTCGATGGCCTGGCAAGGCATGTGACTCAAACCCGACGAAAAATGTTTGGGCGAATATTGTCAGTGTTTGAGAAACGGCCAATGAAAGGACCTCCCAATGACAAATAGATTATACCAAGAGGGAATGTGAAGTGTTAAGGAAGAAATCGAGACGCTGCATGAACACATCACCTCTGTCTCGGGGATTAGAATAACAAAAAGTTGTTCTAGTGTTTGTCTTTTAATGTAGTTATTACCATTTTTCTTTAAAAATCAAACTGTAGTAAAACCATCAAATTTATCAAGCATCCCCAATTAGTCGATTCACTGAAGCTGCCCATCCTCTAAGAAAAGAAATTATATATATATATATATATATATATATATAATATATATTAATATATATAGATATAGATAGATAGATAGATAGATAGACATAGAGATATATATATATATATATATATATATATATATATAGAGAGAGAGAGAGAGAGAGAGAGAGAGAGAGAGAGAGAGAGAGAGAGAGAGAGAGAGAGAGAGAGAGAGAGAGAGGGAGAGTTATCAACTACATGCTATGGCATTTTGCGCGAGAAGGGGTTCAAAATGGCATGAAATATAAAACTAAAGATTGTGTTGTGTGAGAACGAACTGAAGTTGTTAAACACTTTAGTTAAACAACTTCAGTTCTTTCACACACAGTACATACACACATTGATGAAACATTCGTGTATTCAAATTAACCCTGCGTTCAGTTAATATCCAGAAATTATTATAAAGTAGCATACTTTCTGTTTATTGAATCCGTGTTTGGATCTGACGAAAAAATATTCGTCACTTTATTCACATCAAGATTACATATAAGAACACTTATTTTGTGATAAAAGCCAAGTATGCCAATTTCATCTACACATACGCATATATTGGAAACCGACGTTTATTGACAAAAAAAAAGAAAATTAAAAAGCTGCATAATTGACAAATAAAAGTAGAGAGCGAGATCAAGTGACTATTTCATCAGAACGACTTTTTCAATGTATCAGATATCAATACAGCACATGTACTGAGAATCGGTTCTTAGACTTTTACTATTCACCCTCCTTGGAACCACCTAGCTAGTAGTTGCTTGAGTTGAAACAAGCAAACGTGTATTTTCTCGCTCAGCTGTTCGAATGTGGATGCGTCTCCTTCTCGAAACGTCAAGCCTTATGGAATAATAACAACGGAATCTATGATCGGATTTTAGCACAAGATAGAGGATATTCAGAATAATCGGAACGAATCATACATTCTGTTTCATAGCTTGTTACTAATTATTTTCATAGACGCTACACACACACACACACACACACACACACACACACACACACACACACACACACACACACACACACACACAAACACAACACACACACACACACACACACACACACACACACACACACACACAACACCACACACACACACACACACACACACACACACACACACACACACACACACACACACAATGATGGAGCATCTATACATTCCATAACGAAGAATATAATATAACGGTTTCTGTTTACTGAATAAGTGTTTGGTTCTGGCAAAGAGTTAAAAGCTGCCATTTTATTAGATCGATTAGCCTCTAATAGATACTGCAGCTACGATACGTATTCACAAAGGTCTTTTGCACAACTTTCTGTTGGATTCTGCTGTCATGCAGAGATGTTTAAAGCATTAAGCGCTTTTCGTGTTTCATGAGATATGCAGCTGGAATCATTGGCGTATGTGAAAGAAGGAGGAAATGCCAGGATATCGCATGTGAAGGATATCCCACTACAAAGTCAACTATAACTAATATTACATGTTTTGTTATCACTTATCTGAAGAAAACGAAAGATGAAATATTCAGTTATACACTTATCGGTTATTTGTATTCGACCAATCACTCTCTTCGTTACAAACTTCATAGGGTTTTAAACTCATTCATAAAAAAAACAAACTTTTAACGCTATGTTTGATTCAATTAGTTGCCAGATGTACAAAAGCTGGTCCATGCATCTATACTGAAATATAATTCCGCAACTGTACATATATATGTGTGCATATATACATATATAAATACATAAATATATGTATACGTATATATATAAATACATATATATGTACACATTTATTTATATACATGTGTGTGTGTGTATGTGTATGTTGGGAACCCCTGATCTAGTAGTCTATTGTATGGTTTATTGGGTTACATGGAGTTAGAAATTAATGGTTCGTTAATCAAATCTATTAAATGCTTGCTGGAGAAAATTGGTAGGTTGCTGATATATAGAGTATAATATATGATGAAATAAATGTGTTAAAACATCAGGAACTGACATGGCATTCGAGCTAAAAATTGTTTAACGCGAAATACTACGTAAGGATTTTCAAAAAAGTATCTAATCTCATTCTTGTAAAATTTGTTTAGTTTATATGTTTCTTCGTAATTGTACCAAAAAAAAGAAAGAATAGTAACTGAATTTACAAATTGATTCTCATACGAATATACTCGATTTTTTTTCTTTCTTTTTTACATCTGTCGATTAAAAGTGATTTTTTATATACTGTAAGATCCAAATGACTAAACTTAATATGGAAAAAATCTTTTAATGGTCTCCTATAGACAATATATATATATATATATATATATATATATATATATATATATATATATATAATATTTATATATATATATTTTTTTTTTTTTTTTTTTTTTTTTTTTTTTTTAATATATCAGTTCTTTACATACCATTGATTCAGTCTTCCTTTCGACAGTTATATACGTTACAAAATATAATTTATCCTCGCAAATATAATGAAGCTTAACTGAATACCTGCCATTCGCTGACATTGGCCGGTTCTGCATGAGTGTGTGCATGATGTAAATTGATAAATAATGAGAATGATGTATGTGTGCGTGATGCAGTTCGTGAGTTGGCAATTACAGGGAATACAATATTTACAAATATGTATAGGCAACACTATTAACTGTGAGTATATGGTGTGTGTTTGTGTGTTTGTATGTGTGTTGTATGTGTGTGGTGTGTGTGTGTGCGCGTGCGTGCGTGGGTGCGTGTGTGTGTGTGTGTGTGTGTGTGTGTGTGTGTGTGTGTGTGTGTGTGTGTGTGTGTGTGTGTGTGTGTGTGTGTGTGTGTGTGTTACCAAGTGTGGGGGAAAAAAAAACTATCTGAAAATGGCTAACTACTTAAGAATGGATAATCATATCCACGGTCAATAGAACAAAACTCCCAGCCAGGAAGGTCAGGATATTAATAAAAATCAGTCGTATTACGTGGGTGGTTACGAAGACGATACTGCCCTCTCATCCATGAAAAAGATGGCTTACTTAATGGTAGGGCTTAACTAATGGACTCTGAATTTGTGGCTTACTTAGTGGTAGGGCTTAACTAATGGACTCTGAATTTGTGGCTTACTTAGTGGTAGGGCTTAACTAATGGACTCTGAATTTGTGGCTTACTTAGTGGGGGCTGCTTACTTAGTGGTAGGGCTTTACTAATGGACTCTGAATTTGTGGCTTACTTAGTGGTATGGCTTAACTAATGGACTCTGAATTTGTGCACAGACATACGTAGTCATCGCGAGGTTTAATACCATGGGAAAGGTAACAGCTTTTATGTGGAAATTTGAGCACGTAAAATAAATGATGTAGGCTCGGTTAGTATGTGTTTTAAGGCGAGGAAGTTTATCAATATGAAGGATCTAGTTAAGGAAACGAAGTCCTAGGCTAGTGAAAAGAAAAGAGGAAGATTTAATAGAGGAAAGGCGAGAGGAGAGGTGAGGAGAAAACAGAAAGGAGAAGAGCGGAGAAAAGAGAAGAGAAACGATAAGAACTGAGAAGAAAAGATTAAAATAGGAGAAAAAAAAGAAATAAAAAAGGGACACGCAATACCAAAAAATCGAAAGCTAGATATAGACACAAAACAACAAACCAAAGAACAGCAGACAAACTAGACAATGACCACGTGATCCACCCACCAAACTGATAAAAGATATAAAAGTGGCATGATATTACCTATCACTTTCGCGTCCCTGTCAAGTGGGTGTCAACTTTATCTACAAATTAGCTCATGATTTATAGTCTTAATAACAAAAGGCTTTTCGTTGCTAATCAATAACACTAAGAGACAGTGAATGAGTGAGAGAGAGAGAGAAAAGAGAGAGAGAGAGAGAGAGAGAGAGAGAGACAGAGACAGAGACAGAGAGAGATAATCATTGTTCAGAAATATGTATTATCTTTGATAATCAGGCGCAAATTAATTACACTTTAAAGTTCTAGGGAAAAATGGGATTAAATAAATTTTCTGCCAAAGCGAAAATCGTTGTGGACGAATAACTGGTTTAAAGTGGGTCATTATTATTATTGCTGTTGATATCATTATCATTATTAGGGAAGGAGAGAGAGAGAGAGAGAGAGAGAGAAGAGAAGAGAGAGAAGGAGAGAAAGGAGAGGAGACAGATAGATAGATAGAGATAGAGAGAGAGAGAGAGTGAGAGAAAGAAAGAAAGAGGGAGAGAGAGAGATATATATATATATATATATATATATATATATATATATATATATATATAGAGAGAGAGAGAGAGAGAGAGAGAGAGAGAGAGAGAGAGAGAGAGAGAGAGAGAGAGAAGAGAGAGAGAGAGAGAGAGAGAGAGAGAGAGAGAGAGAGAGAGAGAGAGAGAGAGAGAGAGAAAGAAAGATAATCTTATACCCTCTAATTTTGAATCACACGACGTCTTCCTATAAAGTGATTCCGTCACACCACGGACGTCACCATGGTCAACATATCCATCATCTCAGTTCATCAGGATATGCGAAAACGCCATTTTCCTTTACAATCCTCTCCAAATTACAGGCTGGGGGAATGCTGGGTGGCCTTCTTGACAGTCCTACTGGCCTGTAGCGGCGCCCTCGCTCAGGACAATGTCTGCTCTCCGGCTATACCAGGAGGCCTAGCCCCACCGGACTACTTCACCGTCTTCGAAAATGAATACACTCTAATCCTGGAGATGACCAAAGTGAAGTCTGTAAGTACGATAGGACTCTAATCTCTGAGAAGTTCCTTTGTAGCCCTAAATTCTCTTGAAGTGATGTCTGTAAATAAGATAACTCTAAAATCTAATGTTTCCTTCATAACCCTAATATCTATTAAAAGTGTAGTAAGAGATGGCTCTAATTTCTAATAAATTCCATGGTTCTAATTCATCTAACAGTGAAATCTGTAAGTTGTTAGACAGCTTTAGTTTCTAATACACTCCATAGTTCTAATTTCTTTAAAAGTGAAGTCTGTGAGTACAGCGAGACTGTTCTATATTTTCTCTGTATGATCTGATTGGAGGGCCAGTAGCGGCCGTTGGGTCTTCGCCAGAAACAAGGTGCGGAGGATGCCCTGGCTTTAAATAGTTTGTGTTGGTTCTCAATAGAGTAGAGTAAAAATCAATAGAGGGATAGGCAGGGGCCCTACCTTCTAATGAAAACTTGTAGTTATTTCAAGTACGAATGTTCGATTCACAGTTCATAGATCGAACAAACATAGACCCACGATCGAGAATTGCGATGTAAGTGGATATTCGCTATGTAGGGTAGTACAAGCCAATATCCAGCTCAGCACCACCTCCCCGAGCCGACAGGTGTCCTCGTCTGCACAGGCCGCTGCACACGCTCAACCGCAGCCTTCCGTGTCTTACCGATCGGCCCCGCCTAAGCTTGATTATACGATAGAACACAATGTTACATGAGTTTAAATAATTTAGTTACAAATAATCCAAACAGTAAGAATATAAAGTTCCACGGCGTTGTTTACTTCATAAAGTCTAAAAATGAATTGGAGCCTGGATATCATACAAACGATCAAAATAAAAAATACTTTCGTTCATTCATTGAGTGCGATAAGTAATATATTAATTCCTTCAAGCTGAGTAAAAAATACAGAGCCTATGGACTTAAATTCCACTGCGCAACCAATCCTCCACCTCAGCGTCAATCCATGCATAAACATAATCGCCCACTTCTTCTCATTTCTCACAGGGCTTCTCCTTCCTGATCAGATTACTTTGTTCAATACGCCGGTGTAATATATAAACATTTAAAATTAATTTTTCATGCCTATCATTGCCACAAACTGCGAAGAGGCAAAATGACTCGAACTTATTCCAAAGGCACTCCGCTCCCAACTTTTGTGACGTCAGCAAAATAAACACTCAAGTGCCTCAAACAAAGAAGAAGAAAAAAACATCAGACGTCACGACACCTTCCTAAGGCGGTGTGACTCACTGATCCTTAAGACCCTATCTTCCCGTATTCCTATGGTAGTATTGTGTGGTTAGGTATGGTTTCCATATATTTATGAACGTAGTATCCCCCCCCCCCCGCACCCCCCCGCACCCCTGACATGGTTACACCCCTCCCCCCCCACGCTACCCCGCCCCCCCCGCTCCCCCCCCCCCCTGTAGTGTGTCAACTTTGTTACCCCCCCCCCTCCCCCCCCCCCGAAAACAAAAAGAGAAAGAGAATAGATGAACTAAGTTTGATTTACGATTATGCCAAATATGCTAGTCGTGTGATAATAGATTGTAATAAAATGCTAATCTGGCCATCATAAGAGTATAGGTTTTCAATATAACGAATTGATCCTAATATCTGTATAATGCCTCGAATTTATAGGCTGTGAGTTGTATAACTTTAAGTTTGTTGGGTATATTTTTGTTTTCTATAATCTTGCAGATGTTGAACTTAAGAAATACAATGTATATGGTAGTAGCTATATAGCTGATTATATCGCCGAAATATGTCTAATCAGCATTATCATGTGCACGATCGTTGATACATTACATTCAGACATTCGAAGAAAGAACAAATGTTGTAACAGTAGCAAGTACCTCACGAGCAAGGTGCAAAACGCCACACACATTGCTACGCTCATATCGCATCATTTACACACATACATCCTCACCCCCTGCTTAATACAAATAACATGTGACGCGAATACACACATTCAACGGGCTTCACAATAAAGAGACACGCATTCTTACATACTCTTCTCTCTCTCACCTGCGCTTCCTGACACCTCTCATAAACTCTCAACACACTCAAAGGCGGTGGCGTCCAGCGCGCGGGAGCTGTCCAAACATCCGCTGGCCCTGCGTGCGCGAGACAAGAGGAAAACGGATACTCACGAAACTATTATCACTCCATTCTACCGTGAGTGCAGTACCTTACTCTCCCATAATAAAATAAACGTCCAATCTCCATCCCCACTTCAACTATAAATCTCACATTTCTCATCTCTCTACTCTTCCTCCCTTCACTCACCCTCCCTACATAAATAAATCGCATCCCATCATACACAGAACAACCACAATCCACCAATTTCAGTAATTTCTATACATTTATTCTACCCTTCTCTCCCTCTCTCCTCTCTATTCTCTTCCCATCATCCTCTCCATCGATTCTCCCCGCCCGATGGGCGAATCCGGCCATAAGCTGTAGACGATGCAGGGTGCGGGATAAATATACCCATCATCCATCCCCACAAATGCTAACCAATTCTCACATTCTCCTCCCTTCCCTTCTCCTCTCTCCTCTCTCTCCCCTTCCATCCCTCTCCTCTAATCACTACCCCATCCTCCATCCCCAATTACCAATCTCCTCACATTTATCTCCTTCCCCCCTTCTCTCCTCTCCTCTCGCTCGTGCCCTTCAGTGCCGCTCGTGCTCGTATGACTTCGGGCCCAGTGCTCGGGAGTGCCCGCAAGGTTTACCCCCCCCCCCCATTCTCACCCATCTTATCCTCCTTCCCTCTCCTCTCCTTCTCTCTCCTCCTCTTCTCTCCTTCCTCTCTCCTCCACCCTCTCCTCATATAAATACCCCCATCTCCAATCACAACCACATTAACAATTCATCACATTTATCTCACTTCTCTTACATCTCTCTCTCTTTCCAGAACATCACATACATACCTACCGCAAGAGCGTACCCCCTTACGGGAACGGGCTGGAACTACCACGGGTCCTGTCTTACGTTACCCCCTCCACCCCCCAGTCGCACACCCCCCCGGCCAGCCGGCCCCTTTACATCACACCCGTTAACTCTCCCCTTCCCACGAAGATCACCCCCTCTACCCACTTTCTCACCGCCGAGCACTCTCCGGATACGCTTCGGGGTCGAGCGAGCTACGACTAACCCACGCCCGTTCGGCGACCTCGGCCACCCCGGTCAACCCATTGCCCCCCCCCCGCCCCCGGCTAGCTCCTTCCTCTCTTAAACGATTTTGTGGCCCTCCCCGCCCTCCCGCGTCCCCCCCATGCCGTCACTGTGCCCCCCCCCCCCTCCCCCCCCGGTAGAATGGGAATGTGTTCGTAAACAGGGCAATTGTTGTTCTGAGAGAGAGAACGAGAATGAGAGAGATGAGTAGATGATGATGATGAGAGAGAGAGAGAGAGTGTGTGTTGTGTGTTGTTGTGTGTGTGTGTGTGTGTAGTGTGTGTGTGTGTTGTGTGTTTGCTCCCCTCGCTCGTCGTCGTTCGAGACGCGAGACGACCGACCCGGCAGCTGCCCCCCCCCCCCCCCACCCCCCCTGCCTCGTCGTGGTGTTGTGTGTCTCACTGTTTGCTGTGGCCCCCCCCTCGTGCTCCTACTCCGACTATTACCCATTCCCCAGCATCCTATCTATCCCTATCACTACTCCATTACCTCATTCATTCCCATTACCTCCCCTACCTCCTCCATCCCCACATCACCCCCTCCACTCCTCACCTCACCTCCCATCTCCCCACTACTCCCCAGCTACCTACTTACTCTTTCCCATTATTCCATCAACTTAATCTACTATTCTCATCCTCACTACTCCACCCACCCATTACCTATTACCTTCCCATTCACTCCCACATCCCCACTCCCCACTTCCACTCCCTTATATTATTATCATTACTATTACTTTTTATTATTATCTAATACTCCATCCTCACTCCCCATTCCCCCTATTCATCAACTACCTATCTCACCTACTTTCTCACTTATCCCACATACTCCACTCTCCACTATGACCTTATTATCCCCCCCCCCCACCCCCCCCATTACCTATACCCTTTCACTTATCCCCACTCATTACCCATCTACTATTCATATTATCAACACTCATTACTATTATTATCTATCATACTATTCCACTCACTTCATTCATTTCATCAACACATATTACTATTCATTCATTATCAATACATACTATCTTCTCATTTTCATTTCACCTTATCATTATCATCAAAGTCACTCTAGCCATAATTGTTATTGTATTATTCCATTATTTTCACTTAGCATTATTATTATCATTCCCTCTACATATCTAGTTTCCCCCTACTCTATTTGCATCTCCCTTGACATACCGTCCAGGGCTCCCTCCTCACACCGCCACTCTGCTTCCACCTTCCCAACACCCCGACTTCTTTCTTTTGCTATCCTTCCTCCCGACCCCCCTCAGGCCCCCTGGACAGACCCCGACGTCCCCCCCCCTCAGTTTCGACCACTGGGGCACCTGCGCTCTTCCCTTCGACACGCGAACCACTCCCGGGCCACACAGCTCGCTATGGTCCCGCGCCGCACTTTTCGCCTCTCCCGCCATCACACACTTTGCAACTGGCTTTGTGTCGTCGCGTCGGACTCCTTGTTCCATAATGCCTCCCCTCGTTTTTTCGTTTTGTTCTCTGTACTTTTGTCTTCTCCCTCTTCCTTACCCTTTCTATTTTTTTCTCCGCTCTCGCTCTCTCTGACTTTCTGTACTTTCTCTTTCCATGTCTCATGGATTTCTCTTTGAGTCTTCTTTTTTCCTCCTCTCCTTCTCTCGTGTCTTCTTCTCTCTCTCTCTCTGGTTTCCTGTTCCCCACTCTTCCTTGTCCCTCATTCTCCTCTACTTTAGTCTTCTCTGTCCGCCTCTCTCCTCCTCTCTCTCCCTTCTCTCTCATACATACTCTCATCTCCCTCTCTCTACTCTCTCTCTCATCTTTCTTCTACTTACCCTCTCCCATCATCCCTCTCCCCCTCCCTACCTCTCTCTCTCCCTCTCCCCCTCTCCCTCTCCCCCTCCCCTCCCTCTCCCCTCCCCTCTCCTCTCAATCTCTCTCTCCTTCCTCTCCCCATGTTAAAGCATCCCAAAACCACATAACCCAGCAACACGCAACCTCAGACCCAGCTCCCACCACCTACCTCGACCTCAACCCATCTCCCACATACCGACAAATAACTATCATTCATCAGGCACGCCTCTCCCCTCGTCGCCGCGAGACGAACCATAGACTGCGCGCCCCTCTCCCCGTTACCGTCCGCCCAGCCGCCCTCACCAGCAGCCTTGTGAAGCTGCCCCACCGGCACTGTCAGAACACTATCTTTTATCCCGCTCCTATTCAGGTAACGTTAACCCTCACTTACCTCTTCGCCACGAGTTACTGTCCATTCTCACTTATTCCATTCATCTCCACTTATTCGATTCCCCGCGCTACCCCGCCTCGGCTTACGCCCCCCGTCGCGTCTACGCCCAGCCGTATAGACCAACTAGTCCTATCGCATTTTTTCTCCACTTATTCCTTCATTCTTTTTTCTCATCCTCTCATTCATTCATCCCATATTTATCCTACTCCTCTTCCTTTTTTCCTTCCTTTTTCTTTCTCTTTCCTGCTTACCTGCCCTGTGTTGCCCCCACCCTCAGATCGTCTACTCTGACTTTTTGGCTGGTGATCAAGGGAACTCCTTTTTCACCGCTCAAATCAACTCATTATTATTACTTATCTACTCTTCTTCATTTTTCTTATTTTCTACTCACTTGCATCACTCTATCCTACTCTATTATCTATTTTTCTTCTTTTTCTCTTATTTTTATTAATATTAGAGGAACCCGGCCTCCCCCTTTCCACTTTAGCCACGACAGGGAGGCCGACCCACATGCCGGCACCCCTCCACTAGTGACCTTCCGAAAGACCCCGGTGCATCCCTGAGCCCGCCCCTGTCGATTCTTCATTCCGTGACACTCTTTCTGCACTTTACTTTTCATCTTATTCATCTTTCTCTTCTCCATATATATTCTTAATCTTATTTATATTTTCTAATATATATTTATATATTTTTTATTATATTCATATATTTATTATTTATTCAATTATTATATATTTATACATTATTATTTATTATATTTTCATTTATTCAGTTATTACTTTATTTATTTTCTATTTATTCTTTCTTCTCCTTATTTACTCTTCCACTTATCTCTTACCCTCTCATTTTTACTTCCCCTCACTTCCATCTATCTTCTATCTTACTTCTCTATTCTCTCCACTCGATTTATCTCACTCTATTTCATTCCCCCCTCACTCTCCTTATCTCTCTTCATGCTTTCTATTTTCTCCCGCGCCTATTCCACGTAGAACCCTTTTATCCCTGTGCTGATGGTAGGTGCTCTTCCTACTCGCTTCCCCTCTACCTCCTTCTTATCCCCTTAAGGGCGTGAAAATAAAATTCCTGTTTAGCGCCCACCCAAAAAATCATCTATTTTCAGTTACAATTTCCATTGATTCCCCCCCCCAAAAAAAAATTCAACTATTTCATAAAAATCTTATCATGATCCCCCCAAAAAGAAATTGTGTATGACTTTGAAAATCTATTCTTCTTGTCATGTTTTTTTTATTTTTTTATTAGAGAGCCAGAGATGAGAGAGATGATTGAGAGAGAGAAGATGTGAGAGTGGAGAGAAATGAGACGAGGAGGGAGGAGAGAAGAGGAGAGAGAAGTAGCTTCTTACTAGGCTACTACTAATCATGACATTGGAAAGTGAATATGATTACCCACAAGAACCTAATGTATTTTTGAAGTCTTTGAAAGCTGTTATTCTCTTTTGTAAATGCTATGCTTGTAGAAATGAATAAAGAGTAAGGAAAAACAGCCTCATCAGTATTCATTTTAAACCCTGGATGCTAAACAGGAACTTTCATTCTTGTGGTCAAAGGGTTGATTAAGGGTCAGTTTGCTAGATTTCCCTTGGGGTTTGACGACCTTAAGTGATCTGGGAGGTCTGTCTCTCGTTCGATGAATATTTGTGTTTCTTTGTTTATTGGTCTTTTTTTATCCATTTCTTTTCCCATGTCCCTCCATCCATGCATTCATCCCCCATCCATCCATCCACCGCACACCCACCCGCCCATCCATCGATCGATCCATCCCATCCATCCACCCACCCATCCCATCCATCATCCAAGCACCCATCCGCCCATCCCATTCCATCCACCATCCACCACCCACCCACCATCCATCCCACCATCCGCCATCCATCCATCCCCCCCACCCATCCATCCTCCATCCATCCATCCATCCATCCCATCCATCCATCCCCCCACCCATCCATCCATCCACCCACCACCCACCCATCCCATCTCCACCAACCCATCCTTCCACCCTCCCTTCTTCCTCCCCATCCACCTATCCATCTCATCCCTTCCCCCCCCCCAGAGGTCCCTTGGCAAATGCCGGAGATCACGTGGTTCCCCGGCGAGGACGACCGCATTCCCGTCGAGTTCGAGGTGGAGATGCAGGACATGTCGGAGCTCTACCAATACCACGTTCTGAAGTTCGTGCCTTGGGTCGAGCATCACCATCTGCTTGAGGTGCGGTCGACTCGCGTTCAGTTTGGAATGGATAGTGCATAGTGTTTATACATACATATATATATATATATATATATATACATATAACATACACACATTCACCACCACATTTACACGCCCACACACATTAACATGCACACACACATTAACACACACACACACACACACACACACACACACACACACACACACATATATATATATATATATATATATATATATATATATATATATATATATATATGTATGTATGTATGTACGTACGTGCATACATATATATATATATATATATTATATATATATATATATATATATATATATATATATATATATATATATATGTGTGTGTGTGTGTGTGTGTGTGTGTGTATGTACATTTACCTACTCATCCATTCATTTATCTACGCGTATGTATGTGTATAAATATATAAAATGGTTTATGAACGATATACATCATCAATAAAGAACGAGAATGTGACAAAAGTATTACACAACATTAATGATTTGAAAAAAAAAATAATAAACAAATGTAATCAAGTTGCTAAGATACAACAAAGTACGAAATTTTAACATAGAGCATGCAGAAAAAATACATTAAAGAAAGAAGCATCACAGAATATATATTTTTTACTGAGTACATGGACGTGCGCAGGTTCCCCGTGGGCTATCTTGTGAAGGTTTAGTTGGCGTGGTATCGGATCTTCCCGTGCCCGATATACCCAGTCATTTTTCCCTTGCCGAGGAGGTCGTCTCAAACCCTATGATAGACGGTGTTAGCCTGGGGTCGCAGCACCTGGATAAAGTCAAGGTAAGTCTCGTTTTCTGTGTCTGCTCGTATGTGTATGTGTCTGTGGTAGTTGCTGTGTGGGTTGTGAGAGTGCGATTGTGTATGTAAATGAGTGTGAGCGTGTGTGTGTGTGGGCGTGTGTGTATGTGTGTGTGTAAGTGCGTGTGTGTGATCATGAGTGTGTGAGACTCTGGATGTATCTGTTTACGAGTGTGTAAGAGTGACTGTGTGTGTGGATGTGTGAGAGAGTGTGAGTGTGTGATAGTGCGAGAATATGTCAGTGAGTGAGTGCGTGAGTGTGTATGAGAGAGTATGTGGGTGAGGATTAGTGCGCGTGTTTTATAGATATATATATTGATCAAATTGCGTCTCAAATCTTCTTAATATATACGTTAAAACATCTATGAATATTTCTTGAGTTTAACTGGTAATGAAAGTTCGATGTGTTTTATGAATTCAAGCATATATATTGGACAAAAAACTTATACTCAATATTTGCCTATATCTTCATATCTATCCATTTATATATCTATCTAATATCTATTGACCTATTTGTCTATCTGCATATATCTATTGATCTGTCTATCTGTCTATCTATACATACGTACGTTCAATGTGTGCGTGTATTTGTGTATGTGTGTGTGTGTGTGTGTGTGTGTGTGAGAGAGAGAGAGAGAGAGAGAGAGAGAGAGAGAGAGAGAGAGAGAGAGAGAGAGAGAGAGCGAGAGAGAGAGAGAGAGAGAGAGAGAGAGAGAGAGAGAGAGAGAAGAGAGAGAAGAGAGAGGAGAGAGAGAGAGGAGAGAAGAGAGAGAGAGAGAGAGAGAGAGAGAGAGCGCACGCATGTGTACCTGTCTGCCTGTCTGAATTTGTGTGCGTTTATATGCGCGTATATGTCTATAAGTGCGTGTCCCGCCATATGTATATGACAACCCCTCAATTGGGTCAAAAAATAACATAAATTCTTTCACTAAAATATCCCTAGTTTGCCTACGCCGAAGATCTGTCTCTGGTCCGCCTCGATGTCGTTCCGCCAAATTATATCACCGCGCTCACAGACCACGTGGTTGAGATCGTCCACGATTTCAATACAGGTGTGACCCTTACGTGCTCTGTTTATGATGACTATAATTTCACTTTTTTACTTATTATTACTTTTTTTCAGTGCTTTGGTTGCCATGTGTGCATACGTTATTTTTATATGATGATCTGAGTGGTTCGGGAACATCTGTGAGCTGAAATGAATATGGATTAACTGACTCGAGCTCGAAAAGATATATATGCTCGTAGTCTTCTATCATGGAATTTCTCATTAGTTCGAGAAAATTTAATGTATGCTCTTAGTTTTCGAACTACGCCTAAGCTGTGGTAAAATGTGATCGCAGGCTACGAACGTATATGTTGAAAGTGTTCATGAAATGACGTATGATCGAAATTTATAAACGTGTATCTTAAAACTTTGAGAAAGTTTGATATATATACGGAATACCTGCATTTTTCGAAAAAAAATACTATATCCTCGTTATCCTCAAACATGAAATATCTAAATAGTTCGAGAAAATATAAGTGTTCGTAGTCTATGTAAATGGCATATTTATTTAACCGCAACAATGCATCATGTACAACAGAATATAAAAAAATATCAAACAATCATCAAAAATATATCAATAAGCTTGGTCTTTTTCATCAAAGGCAATATTTCCTCTTTTTTATGATTTCATCCCTAGGAGCTTTGATCAACAAATGACGAGCTTAAAATAAATTCTTCTCTTCGCAGGTGCTCAGTACATAATCGACCGCGAATTTGGCAACTGTTCTATTGATCGTATTCCAGATTTCACTTTCGACACTCATTTTGGTAAGATATTTCTCTCTAATGCTGTTCTGTGGAAACCTATACTCTGTTTTGCATTTTTAAAATCATTTTATAGAATATAGATTGCGATGATAGATTATATATTAAGATAGATAATAATAGAATGTTAGATTGTGTCAATCTCTGGTGCAGTAATTTTACCACCCGAGAACACGCGGAGTTGGAAACACTGGACGGTGCTCAGGTCTATTTTCTTTTCTTTTTTTCTCTGTCTTTTTTCCTTCCCTGTCTGTCTGTTCTTCTGCCTGTCTCTTGCTTTTTACTCTGTCCCTGCCTCTGCCCCTCTCTCTCTCTCTCTCTCTCTCTCTCTCTCTCTCTCTCTCTCTCTCTCTCTCTCTCTCTCCTCTCTCTCTCTCTCTCTCTCTCTCCTCCTTCCTTCCCCTCTCCTTCTTCCTCCCTCTCTCCATCTCTCTTCCACTCTCACTCTCTCTCTTCTCCTCCCTCTATCTATCTCCCTTCCACCCTCTCCCTCAGTCCCTCCCCTCCTCTCTTCCCTCTCCCTCTCTCCTTCCTTCCCTCCTAAGCCCCTTTGACCTTACTTTCTAACCCTTAGGAGGCATGCTAGGGACAGGAGGCTCCATGCTCGGCCCCAACGAGCTCTTCCACCTGGACGACACCTATGCGTATGTGGGCGAACGATCCACACGGGAGGTCGGGAGTGACATGTGGACCTCCACTCGTGACGATATCCCAGATCCCGAGGTCGGGTGGGAGGAGAACTACCCCAAGGCGGTTCTCGAGTATTACTTCTCCCAGGTGATTCTTCTGACGTCGTTCTGTTTCCGTTTTATTTATTTATTTATTTTAGATGATACACGGAATTCAAAGAATCATTGGTGTTTTGTGAATCTTGTTTCTTGTGTTCGTGGCTTTATGCGAGATTTCTATTGTTTTAAATCTTTCTGGCTTTCATCAGTCCCCAGCAACGACCCATAAATAAAATCTATCCTAAAATCAGTCACCAACAGCAACCCATGAATAGATTTATTTGTTCATCATGAGTCAGCAACAGCAACCCATAAGTAAGATTTCTTTGCCTATCATCAATCTCAAACAATTTCATTTCCCTAACACAAAAATAGTTAAAATCAATCTGCCATTTGTATATCGCCAACTGCAACTCATAAACAAAATTTCATTTCCCTATCATAAATCCCCAACAATTCATAGATAAAATCAATCCGCCAGACATCATTCACCAACATCAACTCATAAATAAGATCACTTTGCCATTCATAAATCCCCAACAACAAATTCCTACACAAAATCTCATTTTCCTATCATAAATCCCCAACAAATATGTAAAATCAATCTACCAGTCATCATTCACCAACAGCAACTCATAAATAAGGTATTTTCCTCTCTTCCCCTTCCCTTTAGGGCGTTGAGGTGACCCCCACCAACAAAGTGCCAGTCAAGATGCCCATTCGCGGAGACCTCTTCACTTACAACCGGTCAAACCCCTTGCAGGTACGTATGTGCCCCCTGTGTTATTGGCACTAGTCTGTTCCGCGAAATCTGAGACAAAATATGATTTAAAAAGGTGTGCAATAATGTGTGACATTGGGTGTAATTGCAGCCCAAAATCGTATATGATTTGTGGTTTATCATAACCACCTTTTATCCAATGTAATGATTACTTTGAGAGTTATTGTCTCGGAGCCTTTTTTGCCAGGCAAACAACAAACGAGAAGCTGATCAAAGTATCCAATCTTATCGAGAAACAAAGAGTAACCTAAAGAGTAATATATTCAAAATATACTCCAGGTGACGGGTATGATGACGACCAACTTCTACGACTTCAAGGAGGTGGCTCTCTACACCGAGACGGAATTCAGTGTGGAGGAGTGTTACGAGCGCTGGAGTGACAGATGGTCGTACCTCATTATCACCTTCCCCGCTGCCCACAGTGAGTTGTTGGCGTGTAGTTTGTTTTTCGTTTTTCTTTTATTTGTTTTATGATTATTGTTTTTTTTTCTTTTCTTTTTTTGGGGTGGTTGTTTTTCTTTTTTATGTTTTTTCTTTATTCCAGTATTTTTTTTTTTTTTTTTTGCGTCCTTGATTTTTTTTCCTTTTTCCGTATTTGTTTTCTCTTTCTTTCTACTTTCCTCATTTGTGTTATTTTTTTCTTAATCTAGGCTTTTCTTTTTCATGTATATTTTTGGTTTTATTTATTTCTGTTTAATTGCGTTTCCCTCTTCCTGTGTATTTCCTATAGTTTATTTGATTCTATATCTTCCTTGGGAAGCTGGTTACTAATAAAAAAATAAGATAAAAATTAAAACGTCCAATAAAGTTAAACATTTTTAAAATCTTTAAAAAAAGCGAGAGAGAGAAAAAGAGACAGATAATGAATGTTTAATCTAATCTAATAAAGTTTTCCACTCTTTTTATCGTTGTCTGTTTATCTGTGGGCGTAGAGGTATGTCTCGTATATCATTTCGTCTACATTTTTCTCCTTTCCTCTCTCTCTTTCTCTTTCTCTCTAGTGGTAGTCACCGCATTATCTGAAAGGTAAATGTTGGTTATATCTGTACAATAAGTTGATGTTCTGTGAATGTTTGCTTTATGTCAATAATGTGTACTTGTTTATCAATTTGTGCTTATGTAGCATTTTCTTTTTTCAATGTTTCACTTTGTGCTTATATATAATTTTCTTTATTATAATGCTTTAATTATAGGGCAGGTGGATATGACATAAATACATATCAACATTAGGAAATAAGAACGAGTTCTAATGAGACCTGTTTATACGGTTTACTGTAAAGTAGTATAGCGACTGAGCACTTAATGGTAGAGACTGTCAGGTATGTTTCTAAATTTGTATGACCTCGACCTAGATTTATCAACAGCTTTTAAACAAATCAGAAGGAAGGTTAACAATCATTCTGAGTGAAGAAGGGGGCGGAGTCAATGGATAATTGTGAATAATGTGATAAACCCACGATAGAGACCTTTATACAGTGTAAACAGACTGCGATGCACCTGGAGTCGATGGCGGATATATAAAATTACATTGTAGGCCGAGTTTACAAGTGTTTATACGGTGAACAGTTACCTCAGTGTATTACCTAGAGTACAGATAGTATAAAAATACGACATATAAAAGGATGCTTATGTAATACTTTATGTTACGTAGTACAGGAAGTAATTAGTAGTATGTAAATTAATGTGTTACATCAGTCTCTCTCTCTCTCTCTCTCTCTCTCTCTCTCTCTCTCTCTCTCTCTCTCTCTCTCTCTCTCTCTCTCTCTCTCTCTCTCTCTCTCCTCTCTCTCTCTTTCTATTTTCCCACTCCTCCCTCCCTCCTTCCTCTTTTGTCCACCTTATCCTTCTCCCTCCCCTTCTCTCTCTATCTCAGTCTCCCCCTCACGTTTACTCTCCTCGCACCAATACATACGGTCCAGCATTTTCATTACTCACCCTCCCTCTCTTCTCCTTTCCAGAGAACCAGTTCCAAGCAGCCGAGAAGAAACCGGACTTATTCAAGCATAAAGTTCTCGAACTCATAATATCCAGGGGAGATATTTCACCCGTGCGCATTGCTTCCATTGATGTGAGTTTTTCCCGCCTTTTTAATTTTTTCCCACCTTTTTTCCGCCTTTTTTAAAAATTTTCCCGCCTTTTTTTTTCCGCCTATTTTCATTTTTTTCCGTCTCTTTTGTAATTTCCCAGCTTTTTGTTTTCGTATTTTATATAGTTATATTTCTCTTTCTATGATGATAATATTTTCTATTTTCATTGTTAGAATTATATCGTAAATCTTATCTTCATCCAATTTACCCGTTTATTTCATGTTTCTTTTATCTTTCCCATTTTTCTTTTTTTTAGGGAAGAAATCAAGAGCAAGCAATAGAAAAAATAACGTATGACTTTCAAAATAGGTAGTATTTTTGAAAGTGACAGATATCAGCTGTTCAGTTTCTCAATTACCAATCAACAGCTGTATTTACAACTATATCTATTGCTGCATTTACTGTCGTGTTTACAGCTCTATAAAAAAAAAACTATTTACAAATGTAATTTTTTGTTTAGAACTGTATTTTTAGCTGCATCTAAAACTTTACTTTACTATTTTTACTGTTGTAGTTCTAGACGTATTTATAACTAATATATATTTGGATATTGATTACAGTGCAGGTATATCTAAATATACATTTACAGTATTCTCAGCTATATTTACATCCACATTTACAATCTTCACAACTATATTTACATACAATATTCACAATTATCTATACAATATTCACCGTTATATTTACATACAATATTCACTACTATGTTTACAACCACATCTACAACTGCATTTAAAATTATATTCACAACTTACAACAATAGTCATAACTAAAGTCACCACTTGCACCATTATTCATAATTAAATTCACAACAATCATCTGTATTCATAACAACATTCGCAGATAACTGTATTTACAACTAAATTCTCAACAAATCATTTGCACTAACAGCTGTATTTATTTTTAACCATATTCACAACTATACTTACAGCTTACAAGTAAAAATTTACAAATATGTTTATTTTCAACTGTATATACAACACAATTTACAACTAACAACTTACACCTTGCATATGTATTTTCAACTGTATTCACATCAAACAACATGATTTACAACTGCATTCATAACAAGCAATTTACAACCATTTTCACAACAAACAATTTACAACCATCTTCACAACAAACAATTTACAACCCTTCTCACACCAAACAATTTACAACTCTTCTCACAACAAACAATTTAAAACCCTTCTCACAACAAACAATTTACAACCCTTCTCACAACAAACAATTTACAACCATCTTTACAACCAACAATATACAACCCTTCTCACAGCAAACAAATTACAACCATTTTCACAACAATGTACAACCCTTCTCACAACAAGCAATTTACAACCATCTTCACAACAAACATTTTCGCAACAAACAACTTACAACCATTCTCACAACAAACAATAGACAACCATCTTCACAAAAAACAATTTACAACCATCTTCACAACTACCCTAGCAACTAACAACATACAACCGCATTTACAAGGTGTCAGAAGGAGTATCCGGCCTAATACCCAACACAACGGACGCAGATCTCATCATCGTGTCCGTCAAACTTCTTGAGAGAGCCCCCTACCTCCTCTCCTTCAGGTAGGTCCTCAGGTGTTGTCATGGAGGAGGAGAAGAATAATAATGATAACGATGATGATGATAATGGTAATGATTATGATGATAGTGATGGTGAGGATAATGATAATTATGATAATGATAGTGATGATATTGATTATAATGATGAATGATAATGATTATTATGATAATAACAGTAAGGATGATAATAATGATGGTGGTGGTTATGATGATACTACTATTACTACAAATGATAATGATAATAATATTAATGATACTAATAATGATAATGATAATAATAATATTCATGATAATATCAGAAATGATAATAATGATGATAATAATGGGAATCATAACAATAATAATGATGATAATGATAATAATAATAAGAAGAAGAAAAGGCGGAAAAGAGACGAGAAAGAAAACGAAGAAGGAGAATACATAGAGATGATGAATGTGATATTAAATTAAAGTTCAAATGATGGGTGATTTTGGGTCGCACGTTTAATGGTCATGGAATCGATCGAATGGGTAAGATTTAGGATATTACAAAGCATATTTTGATTTGCTATTTTACTGCGAGGAGAGATCGAGAAAGGGGTGAGTAAAGGTAGTAAGTTATACATTTTTAATTTTTTTTTTCCCTCACTCTCTACCTGTTCTCCTATCTCCAACTACCTAACTCCTACCTTCCCTCTCCCTTCATCTCCTTCTCTCCCTCTCTCCCTTTCCCTCTACCTCACTTTCTCCCCCTCTACCTTTTTACCTCCCCCTCTACCTCTCTTTCTCTTTCTCCCTCCTCTCCCTCTTTCTCCCCCTCTTCCTCTCCCCTCCTTGTCCCCCTCCCCCACTCTTCCTCTCCCCTCCTTCTCCCCCTCTCCCTCACCTTCCCTCTCTTCCCCTCAATCACCCCCCCCCCCCCCAGGACACCCTCGGACGAACCGAACAAATTTCCCGGAGTCAACGAGAAGAGCTTCGAGGGCGTTCACACCGAAGACTGCGCCAGGTTCTGTTTGGAGGAGCGTGGCTTTCAGTGCAAGTAAGGAAGCTGTTCTACTCGTATTTCTATGGGGGTACGTTAGGTGTTTCTCTCTCTGTCTGTCTGTTTCTCTGTCTGTTTGTCTCTCTGTCTCTCTCTCTCTCTGTGTCTCACTCGCTCTCTCTCTGTCTGTCTCACTCGCTCTCTCGCTTTCTGTGTGCTGTGCTGGCGCAGCGGTAAGGTGCTGGTCTTGCAATCTTGCTGACCTGCGTTCGATCCCACGCCCGGCCAGTGAGTGGTAACCCCGGCCACTCCTTGCACACAGGGGGAGATTTGGGCAAAATATAACAGACAGTATGTCACAACAAAGAATATCCATTGTAACAAATGGAATTAAATTTTTTTCTCTCTCTCTCTCTCTCTCTCTCTCTCTCTCTCTCTCTCTCTCTCTCTCTCTCTCTCTCTCTCTCTCTCTCTCTCTCTCTCTCTCTCTCTCTGGGATATATTGGGTCTATTTGGGTCTATTTTTAAGGGGATATATTAGGTGTATCTTATCTTTCATAGGTGATATTGGGTGTATCCCATAATATGGGATATATAAAATGTGTCTTTCAGGGGATATATTTGGTGTATGTTTCATGATAGTGTTGGTGTATCATTCATAGAAAGATTAGATGTATCATGGGGTGCATCGAAATGCAGTGAAGGTACAGTTCTTGATATTCATAGGTGAGAAAACTTAAAGTAAAACAAAGAAAAATCGGTTTGGAAAATGGTATTAGCAAATAAAGCAAGCACACACACATACACGCACACGCACGCACGCACGCACGCACGCACGCACGCACGCACGCACGCACACACACACACACACACACACACACACACACACACACACACACACACACACACACACACACACACACACACACACACACACACACAACACACACACACAGCACATACTTCTTCTCCCCCCCACCCACACACACAAACCCCCACCTCCCAAACCCACACACAAAGTAAAAAACACAACCACAAATCTAACACACACACACGCAACACACACCCTTACACTCACCTCCTACACACACACCAACACACACAACCACAAACAACCCCAAAATTCCATGATACACATCCTAAATCCTACCCCCCCCTCTATCTCCCCTCCCTCCCCCTTCCTTCCAACAGGTCCTTCCACCACTGCGACGACAGGATCTGTTTCCTGAGCTCCCTTGACACCGCCGATGGGGAACCAGTGGACACGGTGAACAAATGCTACCACTGGATTTCCAGCGTTGACAACCAAACCTTCGTGGATTTGCCGTCCAGCGAAGTTTATTCTGTTATCCTGGACGCTATCCGACACGGGAAATTTATGTTCAGTATTCCTTATAAGGTGAAGGAAAAAAAGGAGAAAAATGAGAGGGAATGTGTGATTTTTTTATGTTGTGGTGTGTGTGTGTGTTGTGTGTGTGTGTGTGTGTGTGTGTGTGTGTGTGTGTGTGTGTGTGTGTGTGTGTGTGTGTGTGTATGATTAATGATTGGTGTTTGGTTAGTTGAATATATTCTTTTTCTTTATTTTTTTAGTTAATTGTTCGCTTAGACATAAAATATGTAGACATAGAATCTATTGTCAATTTATGTTATGCCTAGATATAGATACAGACATAGAAATTGATAGATAGCAGATTTGATCGATAGGTAGACAAAGATATGAATAAACAAGCAAATCTATAGAATAACGTAATAAAAGTCATAGCCATAAATTATATATGGAAATTCACGCCAAATTTCACAATCCACATCGAAGGATATTATACAAAACACACGAAAAAAAGACAAAGATGAAGATAATAAGAAAAAAAAAAAAAAAAAAAAAAAAAAAAACGAAGGAAAGAAAAACTCAACCCAGCTTCCCCTCCCACCCCCCCCCACCCACCCCACCCCGCCTCCTTGTCTCCCGCAGAATGACACCGTGCTGTACGAGGCCTCCATGAGCTTCCACTACAGGACCCCCGACCCGCTGGACCCCATCAGGATGCAGTTTACCCTCGAAGCTCGCAGTATGACCATCGTGAAGGTTGACTACATTCAGGAAGATGTGAGATAGCACATTGATAGTACATAGTGATGAGATGGTGATGAATCTATATATATAAAGATATATTAATAGTGATGAATCTATATATATAAAGCTATGAAAATGAAACTAGCCACAATGAGAATTGAGAATCCATTTCGTTTTTTTGTCTGATGAGGAACTTGAGAAGAGTTCGAAACGTCACGCTTATTCTCAATTCTCATTGTGGCTAGTTTCATTTTCATTTTTGTGTTCACATGATTGTGTTTGTGTTTGTGTTCATATAAAGATATATTAATAGTCAAATAGTGATGAATCTATATATAAAGATCTATTTAAAAATGTGTCAGATTGTACTTTAATAACCAGTTTGCACTGAACATTGCTATTAAAAATGTACCCAGATTTACTAAAAACATCAGTAACGGTGATTTACATTTTAATGACGTACATATTTGATAATGATTTACATCGGCATTGGTGAGTTTTATCAAGAACGATTTAAATTGATAATTGTAATTTCCATATACACCCAAAACCCACTTCCCTTCCTTCTCTCCGTACTAACATGCTAAAAGTTGCAATAATTTACACCAGTAACAATATTTTATATATTACAATCACTACATAAGTAACAAGATTTTACATCAGTAACAACATTTTACATGTTACAGTATTTTACATCAGTACAGTATTTACATCACAAACATTTTACATCAGTTACAGTATTTTACATCAGTAACAACATTTTACATCAGTTACAGTATTTTACAGGTATTTTACATCAGTAAAACACATTGTTACATCAGTAACAACATTTTACATTAGTATTTTACATCAGTTATCCATCAGTTTGGTTACAGTACATTTTACATTAGTTACAGTATTTTACATCAGTAACAACATTTACATCAGTATTTACAGTAACAACATTTTACATTAGTTACACATCAGTTTTTACATCAGTTACAGTATTTTACATCAGTAACAACATTTTACATCAGTTAGTATTTTACAGTAACAACATTTACATCAGTTACAGTATTTTACATCAGAACAAACATTTTACATCAGTTACAGTACAGTTAACAACATTTAGTATTTACATCAGTAACAACATTTTACATTAGTTACAGTATTTTACATCAGTAACAACATTTTACATCAGTACACAGTAACAACATTACAGTTACAGTTTTTACATCAAGTAACAACATTTTACATTTTACAGTATTTTACAGTAACAACATTTTACATCAGTTACAGTATCAGTAAACAACATTTTACATCAGTTACAGTATTTTACATCAGTATTTTACATTACAGTATCAGTAACATACATTTTACAGTATTTACATCAGTACAACATTTTACATCAGTTACAGTATTTTACATCAGTAACAACATTTACATTGGTTACAGTATTTTACATCAGTAACAACATTTTACATCAGTTACAGTATTTTACATCAGTAACAACATTTTACATCAGTTACAGTATTTCAGTAACAACATTTTACATCAGTTACAGTCAGTACACATTTTACATCAGTTACAGTATTTTACATCAGTAACAACATTTTACATCATATTTTACATCCAGTACATATTTACATCAGTTACAGTATTTTACATCAGTAACAACATTTTACATCAGTCAGTTACAGTATTTTACATCAGTAACAACATTTTACATTGGTTACAGTATTTTACATCAGTAACAACATTTTACATCAGTTACAGTATTTTACATCAGTAACAACATTTTACATCAGTTACAGTATTTTACATCAGTCACAACAATTTGCAACGGTAATGATGATCCGCTTCATTAGTAAAATCGTATTTCACACTGACAATAAATAATCACATTTTCAAACAAAAATCATCCTTCATATCAACAAAAGGTAACTCACACCAACCGTAATCGTCGTTGACATTAATCAAGCAACAAAACCTTACATTATTAACAACCACCATTTACTCTCAACAATAACCACCATTTCCCTCAACACACACACACACGCGCGCACACACACACACACACACACACACACACACAACACACACACACACACACACACACACACACACACACACACACACACACACACACACACACATACATAAATATACACAAATACACACACACACAAAATATAATAAAGATAAATGAATAAATAGATAAAAATAAATAAATGAAAAACTCGAACCGAACTCACCACCTCAAGACCCCTCGCCTCTAACCCCTCCAGATGGCCATCCTGGACGAGTGCCTGGCCCTGTGCGTGGGCTGGAAAGCTTTCCGCTGCGAGACCGTGGTGCACAAGCCCATAGACAAGCAGTGCATGCTCCTCGCCGCCCACTACCATGATATCAACTCCACTTACATCAAGCCGGAGAGTGATTCCTGGATTCATTCTAGTAAGATTTGCTGTCGAGGTGTTTGGTTGGGTTTGTTGTGGGGCATGGCTGAAGGCATATAGACATGCACATATACATATGGTGTGTGTGCGAGTGCGTGTGTGGACGCATACATATACTCACATATACACACACATAAGTATATATATATATATATATATATATATATATATATATATATATATATATATATATATATATATATGTATAATGTATACACACATACATACATATATGTGTGTGTGTGTGTGTGTGTGTGTGTTTATAAACACACATATACAAGCAAACATACATAAATACAAAAAATCATGAAAAGGTACGTATATCGATACACGCTTAGGTAATACATGTAAATAGCTAATCAGACACACCTGAAAATGAAAGTAATTAACCCTTTCTCGTCTTACCTTAGGATCGTACCTGGCCGACTACAGCCCTGTCTTCGGTGGCGTGGCTCTGAACACCTCGGGGCCTACGTATGAAAATGTGGATCATCTGGAGGCGTGTGCTAGGTGAGTTGAAAGTGGTGGAGAGGAGGTGAAGGAGGAGGTGGTGGAGGAGAAGGGGTGGTGGTGGATGTGGTGGAGGAGGAGGTGGTGCTGGTGGAGGTGAAGGTGGTGGTGTGAGGGGAGTGGTAATGGATAATACATAAAAGTAAATTGCATGACTAAAACAATTTAAAGAACACCGTTTTCAGTGTTAGAATGTTAGATATAGTGACCATCTTAAAGTACATTTTCTCCCCAGTGGTAAGACTACTAAAAAATATATTTATGAGAAAAAAAAATGTAACCCACACATATTTCAAAGCCTAGTCTCTCCCCAGATATTGCTCACAAGAAACGAGCATCTCGTGTCAAAGCTTCGAGTGGTGTCACGAGCTGCGCCTGTGTCATCTACATCAAGAACATTTCCTGGACGTGGTCGACGGAGGCAACTACGAAGTTCATACTTCGTGCATTCACTTCTCCAGTAAGTGAAACATGGCGCGTACCACCGTAGACTTTTGCATGGAATTCTCAAGCAATGTTAACATTTCATTAGCCTCCCCACTTTTCAAGTTCACCTGTTTTCGTTGTAAGTGTGTCGACTACCGGTTTCGACTCTTAAGTCTGAAACACGTTCCCCCTGCCCTCAAAACATATGGGTATGTGTTTTGAGTACATGTCGAAAAATATACCTTCTAGATGCATGGTAATGTTTTCGGATACAAAAGTCCAAAATAAAATGCCCCCTTCTAAGTATGGGCATGTTTCGGCTACAGGATCCGAAAGAGATGACCATATTATTAGGTATGGATATTAGTATGTGTTTTTGGTTACACGAGTTAGAGCATATAACCTATAATTGCATGGGCATGTGTTTCAAATATAAACCGTTACTTCACACCGTCAGCTCTCATGATAAACTTGAAAGTAAAGAGGACTGTACATGTTCATACTAGTTGACGACTTAAAATGATGGAGAAAATAATTTAAAATGAATAAATCAATATCTTTACATATATATCAGTATCTAGATTAGACATATATCAATATATCTAATCTATCTATTCATATATCCTGTCTTTAGATATATATCAATATATCTAATCTATCTATTCATATATCCTGTCTTTAGATATATATCAATATATCTAATCTATCTATTCATATATCCTGTCTTTAGATATATATCAATATATCTAATCTATCTATTCATATATCCTGTCTTTAGATATATATCAATATATCTAATCTATCTATTCATATGTCCTGTCTTTAGATATATATCAATATATCTAATCTATCTATTCATATATCCTGTCTTTAAATATATATCAATATATCTAATCTATCTATTCATATATCCTGTCTTTAGATATATATCAATATATCTAATCTATCTATTCATATATCCTGTCTTTAGATATATATCAATATATCTAATCTATCTATTCATATCTGTCTTTAGATATATATCAATATATCTAATCTATCTATTCATATATCCTGTCTTTATATATATATCAATATATCTAATCTATCTATTCATATATCCTGTCTTTAGATATATATCAATATATCTAATCTATCTATTCATATGTCCTGTCTATTTGAACTGCAGAGCGAAACGACCAGTTGTTCTCGCGATATCCTCACCAAGGATTGCCCAGCGACAGCAACAGGCTGGTTGCTTTCAAGACTGACGTTTCGAGCTGCGCCAAACTCTGCATCGAAGGTCCGTAGTCTATTGTAAAAGTAAACCTTTGATAACAACAAAAATGTATTGTGCAAGATATTAAAAGAAGAAAAAAACATATGGTTTATATCCAAAAAACAAAAAAAAACAAAAAAAACATGGTTTGAAAATAAACAATTGGTATCAGGCAAAAAAAAAAAAAATATATGGAATTTGGCAATCATTTCATCTTTATATGTTCTTGCTATTATTATTTTATAATGATGCTGATGATGATAATGATAACGATAATGAGGATAATCGGGATAATAATAATGATTTATCCTTCTTATTGTTTATATTATCATAGTTATTACTATTAGTATCACTGTTAATATTGTTATTAATACCATTATTATCATTATCATCATGAATTCCAACACTATTATCAATATTATTTACTATTATTATTGCTATCATGATCAGTCGTAAACACCACTACTACTACTACTATTATTATCATTACCATCATTGCCATTACCCTTACTATAAACAATCATTTTTACCATAATACTTAAAACCATCATTACCTCATCTCCTTACCATCATCAACACCCTCCTTCCTCAGAGAGTGACATGACCTGCCAGAGCTTTGACTTCTGCACGGAATGCGGCGACGACGAATACAGCGTTTGCGGGGAAGACAACTCCGGCTCCACCAACTTGTGTTTCCTGTCCAGCCACCACTTGGGCGAGGACGGCGTCGCTCTCACCGCTGCCACCAGCTGCGAACATTATTCCCGTACGCACAGGGTGTTTTGATATCCTTTCGTATTTTTGTTTTATCCTTTTGTATGATTGTTTTTCTTTTGTTGATGATGGGGAGAGTAATGTTTGTGATATGATTATAATTTTGGGGTTAAATGAGGATGTTTGTATAATTTATTTTCTTATATTTTTTTATTGTTTTTATTTTTTTAATTATTATTATTTTTTTATATTATTATTATTTTTTTTTTTTGAGACAATGATATAAATACGTTAGCAATATCTGAAACTAGAGGTAGAGACTGTGTCAATAATTTTTCATCTAATATTTAGGGTGCCGTTGAAATGAAAATATTATCTTACCACTAAATGTAGATAAGATTTTTTTCGCCATTTTTTTCGCTATTATAAAACAATACTTTAAGGGTAAGCCTTATGTAACAAGGATAATGTGGTAGCTATATATCATCATTTAGAATGAACATTAACCTCGAAACAGGTATGGACTAAATGCAGATTGAATAGATTGATAATTACCTAAATAATAAGGACAATTAAAATGTACTGTTAACGAATGTGTATTTATAAACAGGTGGGTTATTTGTCATCATTCTCTTCTTAGCAATTACGATAATTGCCCCTAATGGAGATAGAATATGAGGAAGTGATAATAGTGGTAATAATTATGATGAAAAGTATATACTTTAACACGATATAATAACATTTATAACCAATACCATTATAGCGCTGAGAGTAAACTGGATTAGGAAAACCATGTAATATATGATGACAGCCACAACGAGGAAAATTATTTTAAAAATAGATTTAATACTCTATCATTGTGGCTACTTAACCTGATCTACTTACACACGCTACGCCATTTGTATTGTTCATATCCTGACATGTTTTCACTAAACTATTTACAGGTGACGTTTTCGGTGACGTCGACTACCCTACTTGGGTCTCCAGGCAGAGAAAATCAGACAAGCCATACACTTCAGGTATTTGGTTCTTTCTTTTCTTTTCTTTGCCTCTTCCCTGTTTCCATGCCCTTGGATGCAGAAGGTCTCAAGTACCACAGGAAACCCACCAAAAGGAGAAAAAAAATGCTCCTAAAGTTCAGTTGCTTTAAGATCACGAGAAAGAAACTGGTATGGATTTGACTTTAAAAAATCGAAGGATGTTAATGGTCAACTGCTATATTTGAACAACTCGAATATGCTATCAACTTTATAACAATGATTAACAACCGTTTTAGGGGGAAAAAATACAGACACTAAGACCAGATGTAATGAATCTTCAATTACAGTATCCAAACGTTTCGAACCCGTATTTCGAACCGGGTGAGCTCCTGAGGCGTTCTCTTTCTAAGCATGGGAGTTGCCACTTTTTGTTTTTCCTTTCCTAAAATTCAACATGATCTAATAACACATTTATATATATTTATTATTTTTTTTTTTTTACGCAAGTGTTCAATGCAGATACTTTCATAAACGAGATTGAACAGAATGAAAACGAATAAATTCAGAAACGATAATAAAAACAGACTCAGGATAATAAATACGGACAAAACCGACAACTAAATATCAGAATTTCAAAAATAGATATATAATTCAAACCATACTAAATCAATCTTCATGTCTTATTAAATATATCTCAGTATAAAAAATAAAAAGATTTAAATAGTATATATAACTCAGTGACATGTAATTCAACCTGATTATTAAATACATGAATTCCGAATGTTAACCAATAAAAAATGGAGAAATCCTAAACAAGAAAAAGATTGAAACGTGACCAAATGAATAAATACAGTAAAATAAAACGCAAACAAAAAATGCAAAAAACATTGAATACAAAAACCCTTAACGATTCAATAATATCAGCCTCGTTATTGCAAGCGACAATAATCCCATCACACCAATAAACCAACCTCGTTATTACGGGTGACACCAAGAAACCAACCTCGTTATTACGACCGACAACAACCCCCTCACACCAATAAACCAACGTCGTTATTACGCGCGACACCAATAAACCAACCTCGTTATTACGACCGACAATAACCCCCCTCACACAAATAAACCAACCTCGTTATTACGGACGACACGAATAAACCAACCTCGTTATTGCGACCGACAATAACCCCCCTCACACAAATAAACCAACCTCGTTATTACGGACGACACGAATAAACCAACATCGTTATTACGACCGACAGTAACCCCGTTACGCCAATAAACCAACCTCGTTATTACGACCGACAAGAACCCCCTCACATCAATAAAACAGCCTCGTTATTACGACCGACAATAATACCCCTCATACCAATAAACCAAGCTCGTTATTACGGTCGACAATAACACCCCTCACACCAATAAACCAACCTCGTTATTACGACCGACAATAACCCCCTCACAATAAACCAACCTCGTTATTACGACCGACAATAACCCCCTCACACCATTAAACCAACCTCGTTATTACGACCGACAAGAGCCCCCTCACACCAATAAACCAACCTCGTTTTTACGGACGACACCAACCAACCAACCTCGTTATTGCAAGCGACAATAACCCCCCTCACACCAATAAACCTCGTTATTACGGACGACACCAACCAACCAACCTCGTTATTGCAAGCGACATGTTATTACGGACGACACCAACCAACCAACCTCGTTATTGCAGGCGACATGACCGGGTTGGCCTTCGGCATGATCTTCCTCGGTATCCTCGTCGCCGTCGCCTTCCTCTTCGGGATGACCTACGCCAAGCCCACGTCAGTGCCCAAGGACTTCTCCATCAGCTTCGTCAACCTCAAGTCGGGCGAGAGCAGCAGTTAGCTCGCTAGGGGCAGTTCGGTAGTTCGGTAGTTTTGATGGTTTTGATTAGTTTTCTTCTCTTTTTGAATGTCTTTTTATTTTGTTTTTTGTTTTTTTGTTTTTTTCTTTTGTTTCGTGGTCTTGTTTTTTTTTTTTTTTTTTTTTTTTTTTACCTTGATCTCTCTCTCTCGCTCTCTCTCTCTCTCTCTCTCTCTCTCTCTCTCTCTCTCTCTCTCTCTCTCTCTCTCTCTCTCTCTCTCTCTCTCTCTCTTCTCTTTCTCTCTATTTCAGACAAATTTATTTATATTACAATGAAAACAGGTACATGATATCGCATGCTATATTCCGCTGCATGTGCTGTGTAAATTTTCAAATCATAATTTTGTTTTGTTTCATGAATGTGATGATAAATGTCTTTCAGGAGGGACTGAAGAATCTAGAATTGTTGAGATAGAACTGTTTCTTTTATAGATCAGATATGATTTATGTTTCCATGCATGCAAGATCTTATTTCAGAGCAATGGCTGTGTAATAATTTTATAATGTCAAGAATAAATGCTTTAATTTGTATTATACTCTGTAATAAAGTAAATTCCATTGAAAGTGTTTATCTCTTATACCACTGGTGTGTGTAGACTATTCTTTGTACGCATAACATATGTGCCAAGATAAAAGATCTGTAACGCGATTTGAATTATGTATATGAATAAATGCACAAGCACTAACACAAACACATACACGTGTACACATATTAATAGACATGTACACAGACACATACACACACAAACATACACACGTACACACATACACATGCATCCAAAGAAGTGTGTGCACACACATATCCACATAGACTCTATGTGCATGTGTATATTTGTATGTAAAGTTACACGTATAATCATAGAGATAATAAATCTCTTAACTATGAATTTTCTCCCAAATATGATTTAATAAATAATAATAATAATAAACTGGACCATGACATGAAGTAGTGCTATAGTTTGAAGCTTCGAAACGCCGCTAAGCCAAACCAAGCATCACGTGACTATAGGGTGTTCGAGATGGAATTTTGACCTGGACTGAGAAAAAACAACAACTAAATGTTGAATATTATTCAATAAATAATTTCAGACAACTTAGTTTTATCTTACTGAGCTGATGTATGTGAATAATATATGATACAAGAGAGAAAGATGTGTATAAGAGGGGGGTAGAGATGGAGAAAGTGAGGGAGAGAGGAAGTGGGGATGGAGAAAAGAAGAAATGGAGAGAGAGGGAGGGGGAATTGTGAGAATAGGGAGGAGGGAGAAAAGGAGAAAAAAATGGAGATGTAGGAAAGAGGGGGCGGGAAGAAAGTGAGAGAGATAAGGAAGGGAAGGAGAAAAAGAGAAAAACGGGGATACAGGAGAGAGTGAAAGTATTGGAGAGAGAGAGAGACAGACAGAGAAAGTATTGCAGAGAGAGAGACAGAGACAGAGAAAGTATTGCAGAGAGAGAGAAAGACAGAGAAAGTATTGCAGAGAGAGAGAGAGAGAGAGAGAGAGGCCGTGCACCATGAGTACTTGATAACCACTGAGATAAAACACCATTCGCGATATGGAATCTGTGCAAGCGTGATATCTGACCAACACGGAGAGAAGATCTGACAGCTCGTGAAGAAAATGAGCAAAACGGATGTAACATGAAAAAATAATCAAACGGTCTTGACTAGATATTGACATGAACAGAATTACAAATTTACGAAGCGGGTATTAGGTAAATATACAACTGCCTTCACAAGTTCGTTTTTCCCTTTCTTATTTCCTGTAAAGTTATGGCACCATCGCCATAGTAGCAATCGCATCTGACTAAACGGGTATTCGTACTGTAATGGCGAACCTAAGGGGGTGGTTACTCGTGCAAAATGTCATAGAAGCAGGCCATATTATGTAATTTGAGTAGTTGTTGAAGCATCACCCTAGCACAGGGGGGGGGTAGAGGAACATTTCGAGGCAACTGTAGTTACTGTATAAAGTTCCCGAGAGTGCATTTCGAATTTTGGGTACAGGGATGTATAACGTATCAATATTACAATGTTTCGAAGTTTTAGATAAGATGTACCAAAGTGTTTCGAAATTCTGAACACGCGAATAATGTATTTACGTGCTTCGAAGCTTCAGATGCAAGAAAAAGCACTATTAACGTGTTTCGAAGCTTCCGTTTTGAACACGTATGTATTTACGTGCTTCGAAGCTTCAGATACACGAAAGAACACTATTAACGTGTTTCGAAGCTTCAGACACGGGAATGAGATGTACCAAAGCGTCTCGAAGTTTTGAACACGCGAATAATATGCAAATGTGCTTCGTAACTTCAGGTACGCATATACAATGTATTAAAGATTTTCCAAAGTTTCAGTCAGGCAAATGAACTGTATATGTTTACTTACGTAGACGTAGAGGGAGCAGTTGATCCTTGATACATTCAGAGCTTGGAAACCAAATATAATTTCATATTTCCCCAAACGAAACAAAGTCACCACCATATATCTTGCAATATAAATAGTTGTCTTTCTCGACACGCAGCAAAATTGTATATCAATCAATATTAAGACATTGGGAAAAAACATAGGAAAATAAATTAGTTTTATTCGCTTTTGTTAATATGATATAAATATGTTTTTTTAATCGAAAGAATAGGACACCCTTGTGATAATTTGTCGCTGTTCGATGACTTACAGTTGACAAATTCAATAATAAACCCCAAAGAATAATATTTGAGGAATATATGATAGATACGTAAATAGCAAAAAATGAAATATGTGGACTATATAATAAATAACTAATAAATATTAAAGAATAAGATTTGAGGCACATGTGATAAGTAAACATCAAAATATAAAATCTGTGGAATATATAATAAACAAGAACCATCAAAGAATAGGGTTTGAGGAATATATCATAGACAAGTATGTAAACAGCGGAAAATAAAAATTGTGGAATATATAATGAATAAGTAATAAACATCAAAGAATGGGATTTGAGGAATTTATGATAGATACGTAAAGAGCAAAAGAATAAAATTTGTGGAATATTTAATAAGTAATAAACATGAAAGATTAAGATTTGAGGAATATATGAACCTTGTGTCATACAGCTGTCTAGTTCATTGGAGTTAGAGGTTATCGAATCTGGGAAGCGAGTGTCCATAACATTAATGATTGTGCTCGAGTGAGTGACAGCCATGTTATAAACAGTAGAATGAGCGTGCAAGATGTAATACCTTGAAAATATGAATAAGTATTAAATACGGGTTCTGTAATATCCTGAGTGGATTATTATAATCCACATACACGCATTCCCAGACATGCAATAGACACAAATTAGTAGACAGATTGGTAAGTAGACAGATACACAGATAGACTGGTAGATAGACAGACAAGTAAATAGATAAACAACATATTGAACTCACAAGCGTTGGCAGTTTCCCCTCTGTTTGCTTTTCGCCTCAACACAACTCATCACTTTCTTATCATATGGTCCTATACCCATGGTGCTCTTTGTTTACCCATATTATTGAGGTCGTACCATTAAACATATTAAGTCACCTAAGCACCCACGTGAGCTTTGGATTGTGTTATAGTCGCCAGGGGTTACAAGAGGTCAAATGTGAGATAGGTATTCATGCTTATGCAATATTCTGATAGTATTGACAAGTAACTCCTGATATCAAGATAGTCATAGTAAGGAAATGCACATAGTAAATAGTAATGTTCATGTAAAATGCAAATAGTAAATGGTAATCATTTTAATAAATAACGAGTGCTATAATTATCTATTGACTTCCTTCCCTCTCCATAAATAATTTAGTTCGTCCGCACTATATGCCAATAAATACTCGTAATAACGATAAGTGACAAATATCAGCTTCAAAGGTGCGACCATACACGAACGTATACCCAAAGAACATTACAACTAATAACCTCCCATGAATAAGCACCAGAACAGTCGAACGAGAGAGGAACAATGGAACAGTTTATTATGACGTCACGACCTACGCACCGCAATCAGAGAAACGCCCCATCAAGATAAACAAAACGATATCAGTAAAGTACAGACACACAGAGAGGGTCTTCCTGGAGTAGTGCCTTTATATGTATCAGTAAACAGTGTTGGTTGAGTGAAGCAATCATATGACTCATTGGTGGTGATGGAAATGATTCTGACACATTAGCGGGATTGGCAGTTTCGTGTACGAGTTGGTGTGATAAATATATGTATTGGAAGTTCGAGATTTTTATCCTCCGGGAATGAGGCCTCTGAAGATTAGGGAGGAAATGAATTTCATTGGAAGGTATAGTTTAGTTATTATCTTATTGTATTGAATGTTGTCATTAACGTTTGTTGTGTTGGTTATATGTTGATAAAAGGCAATGAGAAGATAAAATGCATTCATATTCACTGAATGTGATATAGTAGTTTTAATTCACGAATCATGAAAGAAAGCAAATATGAACACGTTGGTTCTTATAAAGAATGGAAAAAATAAAAGTTTCACTTCGTCAAAGTAACCAACATCCAAATGTGCAGCCTGCTGATGCTGCTGACGCTGACGGCGACTCAGGCGATGGCCGGGCAGCGTCAGCAGGAAGCCTCGTCCTTCGTCAGCGAGGCTTTCCCCAAGTGCGCCAACATCTCCGACGCCGAGAACGCTGACCACCCCGCGCCAGATTTCGTCGAGATTCTCCAAGGCTCTTTCACGCTCACCCTCGAGATGACCATGATGAAGAAGGTAGGTGGGCGGCCGTCCTGCTCCGACCCCGTTCCCGTTCGAGAAATGTCCCTCCTTGGCCCAAACGCGAATGCTAATGCGCTTCTCTAAATTCCCTTAGAGACACGGATTCTGTGCCATTATCTGGTAATACCTTATGGCGTCCTGCACATGTTAATGTATATATTTTATTGTGTAATATTTTTCAAAATTTATCAAGACAGTAGATTGTTTTGTCATTAATATTCTGTGTTATATATACAGATGCAAAATGGATAGAGCGGTATTGGATTTTTTTATATAAAATACTTTGCTACATTCATCCATCTTTTACACATAAATATACTTATTAAATACCAACATTTCTTTTTTGTGTAGTTTCTCACCTCACAATTTTCTCGAAGCAGTAGTATGTATTGCTATTAATATTCTGTCTGCGTGTACATACTCTATACTTATTTTTTCTCAACCTGGTAGACTCTTTTGCCTCTCATATTCTATGCCATATATACATAGTATCACACACCAAAAAGAGCAGAATTTTCTATATAAAATGAATTACTGCTTTACACATAATCGCCCATATCTAATACATATATTTCTGTATTGTGTTGTGATTTTTTTTTTTTTTTTTTTTTTTTACTCCCTCTTCCCCAACACAGTAGACTGTTTTGTCATTCATGTTTTATGCCAACTACACCATTGCACTTACACCTCCATCGACACTCCATACAGAAAATTACTTATTACGTGGAAGAGGTCAGGGAGCGTTGGGAGTTCGACGGGGAAGTTACAGACAACGGTGCGGTGTACCTGCGTCGAAACGGTACCGAGACCACCTACTACTATTATCCTTCATCTGGCATGATGGTAGAAGAACAGGACGGCCAGTGCAGGCAAACGGGGTATCGTACCGGATGTCATTTTGTATGATTGGTCTAAAACATTGTCTGACGGTGAATGTAGTAAGTCATCAGTCGACGACAATAAATTATGGTTATGACAATTAGTTTTGATTCAATATCATAATGTTGAGTTAATTTCAAATTATCATGAGTTCACACTTGTGATAATGATGATTAGGTCACAAATTATTGATTGTCGAGATGTTTAGGCCACATTAGTGATCATGATCACAGCAATGTCCTGATAGTTGTGATTGCCTGTTAATAACTATTTTGATGATTAACAGTCCACATTATCAACTTTAATTAGGACCTATTTACTACTGCTGAAAAGCGATACCTAACTACCCGCAAATCATAATTAATGCTGTTTAACATGTTCATATATTTATTTCCTCACTTATTTACATACTTCTTTATTTGTCTATATTATTTCTCCCTTATTCATTTACCTCCTTATCGCTGAGGTCTAAATAAAGTGATTTGGTCTCCGGCCAAAATATTACAGGACCGATGTTCCGCCATTTAATCCCTGGGGTTGGTGGGATCCAGACCCGACCCACGGCGCTATGCTCTACGGGCCTTCCGCTCTCATCCGGAGAGCTCATTTCATCAACAAGGTGCTCTGTCTGTCTGTCTGTATTCCTGTCTAATTGTCTGTCTGTTTGTCCGTCTGTCTGTATTCCTGTCTGTCTGTCTGTTTGTCCGTTGTCTGTATTCCTGTCCGTGTATTCCTGTCTGTCTGTTTGTCCGTCTGTCTGTATTCCTGTCTGTCTGTATTCCTGTCTGTCTGTTTGTCCGTCTGTCTGTATTCCTGTCTGTGTCTGTATGCCTGTCTGTTTTCCGTCTGTCTGTATTCCTGTGTCTGTCTGTATTGTCCTGTCTGTCTGTATTCCTGTCTAATTGTCTGTTTGTATGTCTGTCTGTATTCATGTCTATCTGTCTGCATTCCTATCTGTGTCTGTCTGTATTCCTGTCTAATTGTTTGTCTGTAAGTTGTAATCCATGATACTCTAGTTACAACCCAGTAAATGTAAACAAAAATCCAGGATACCAAAATTACAACCCAAGATACCATACTTACAACCCAAAGATTTTAAACTAAAATGGATCCCAAAGTTACAGCCCAAGATTATAGTTACAACTCAATAAATAAAAAAATTCAGACCTCCAAAGCTACAATTCACGGACCTTGAGTTGAAGTTATAACACCTTTCTATTTTTATAACATGCATTGACAGAGATATCTCGGCGGTCACAGAGAAATAAATGGAGTGATGTGTGAACGCTGGTTGGCTTGCGAAGGTCAGCAGTCAGTCATGATATATTATTATTTTTCACGTAAGTATTGGGTAAAAGTGAAGGTGAATTATATTTTGTGTGAGAGAGAGATATGCCCTTTACATTATTATTAGTAGTATCAGTATTGTATCATTATATCATTTTCATTTTGGCAGTTGTCATTGCTTTTGATATTATTATTATTATTTATTATTATTATTATCATCATTATCATTAATATTATTACTAGTAGTTGTAATAGTGTCACATTTATTAATGTAAATATTCATATGTCATCGCTATTACCGTCACCATCATTTTTATCATATTGCCATTTTCACTACAATTCTTACTCTCATAACCATCACCGTTATCGTCATTATGACTTTACCACCATTACCCCACCCTTATTCCCATCACCACCATCATGATCATCACATTATCAATGAATATCCATATCACCCACATCACTATCACCATCATCATAAATATTATTTACTCACCGCCACCATCATCACCATCATTTACTCACCACCATCGACACCATCATCTACTAACCACAGCAATCATCATTTATTCACCACCACCACCATCATTTACTCACCTCACCTCACCATCATCATCATTCACTCACCACCATCACCATCACTTACTCACCACCACAAACATCATTTATACCCCACCTCCGCCATCATCATCACCATTATTTACTCACCACCACCACCATCACTTACTCACCTCCAAACCATCATCAGTTACCACCATCATCATCTAGTCACCATCACCATTTACTCACCACCATCATCACCATCATTTACTCGCCTCCACTACCATCATCACTTACCACCATCATCATCTACTCACCATCACCATTTACATACCTCCACCACCATCATCACTTACTCACCACCATTTCCTTCCAACCACAGAGAAGCCATGGGAGATGCCAGAGGCTCCCTTCTTCAGCATAGGCGGCGACAGACTGCCTGTGCAAATCGAGGTACAGTTCATGGACGAGTCGGAGCGGATCCAGTACAATGTGCAGAGTTTTGTGCCTTTCGTGAAAGACCCGACGCTGACTGAGGTACGTGGTTAGGGGGGTGGGGGTGGGTGGGTAGGAGGATGTAAGAGGGGAGGGGGTGTGATAAGGGTGGGGGAGGGGGGTGGGAAAGGGTGGGGGAGGGGGGGAGGTGTTGATGTGGGTGTAGGTGTTTTTTTTTTCGTTTTGTTTTGTATTGTATTTCTTCCTTTTTGTGTCTCTCGTTCTCGCTCGCTCTCTCGTTCTATCTTTCTCTCTCTCTTGCTTTCTCGCTCTCTCGCTCTCTCGTTCTCTCTCTCGCTTTCTCGCTTTCTCGCTCTTTCCCTCCCTCTCTCTCTCATGGTTTAATTTGTAGTGAAGGAATCCGTTGGCTTGGGGTGATGTGGTGTGTGTAATTATTTTATTGTGGAATCTTTTTATTATTATTATTATAATCATCATCATTGTAATTACCGTTACAATCATCATTATTTTTATTATGATCATTGTTATTATTATTACTATCAATTAATTTTTTTTCTATTTCTTGGTGAATCACATGGAATTTGATGATATTAATCTTAAGAATATAGACACTGGTTAAGGAGTATTAATGAAAAAAGATGATAATTATAATTTAGATAATAAGGATAATGATCATGATGGTGAAAATGACAATAATGATGACGATAATGATAACAATAACAATATTATATAATGATGGTGATAATGATATAGGAGTGATAATTATATTGAGATTAATAACATTAATAATAATGGTAATAATAATGATAATAGTAATAATGATACTGAAAAAATATAATAGTTATAGTAATAATAAAACTATAATAATAAGGATAATAATAGTAATAATAACAATGATAATAATGAAGATAATGATAATAGTAGTATTTGATGATAATTGTAGTATATGATAATAATAGATATTATGTTAATAATTTTAATACCAATAATGATCATGATAATAATAATGATAGATATGATATCAATAATAGTAATAGCAATGGTAATAATGATAATACCAATAATGATAATATTAATAATAATGATAGAAATAATATTAATAATAGTAATTGCAATAGTAATAACAGTAGTAGTAGATATAATAATAATACCAATAATAATAATAATGATAATGATAATGAAAATAATGAGAATAACAATAATCATATCAGCAATAATGTCAGTAATGATAATGATAATGATGATATTGATAATAATGATAAAAATAATTCTTGCTTTTGGCTAATGATATAACGCATGTGGTGGAAATTGATATGTAGATTTTATCATGTGCATAAATAACAGTTTACCACATGAATTTATTGAGGTTCTCTGATAGATATTGACACCATAAACTGTACATTTTATCATTAATAAATATATCAACAGAAAAATCTCAGAACATTTGTTCTGTTTGTATACTCATTTTCTTTTTTCAGTTTATTTTTTGAAAATTCTATTGTTCTTTTCAAGATGTGCGCTTGCATACACCCTAATATACACATTCAAATACTACACAACATACAACACAAACAACATACACAGCACAGTATAGCACATCACAACACTCACGCACGCACGCACGCACGCACGCACGCACGCACGCACGCACGCACGCACGCACGCACGCACGCACGCACGCACACACAACACACACACACACACACACACACACACACACACACACACACACACACACACACACACACACACACACACACACACACACACACACACACACCACACACACGGAAACCCCCTACACACACAGATAATAACAATCATAACGAGTACAACATCAAAACATACCCACAAACATCACAAATCTATATATAAAAATACAACCACCTCTTCGCAGACCCCCCGAGGCGAGTCGTGCGAGGGTCTAGTGGGCGTGGCGGGCGGAGGTCACGTGCCGAGGGTGCCACACCACTTCACCTTTTCGCAGGAGGTCGTCGGCAACCCGCAGATCGATGGGGTCAACCTCGGGTCCCAGTCCCTTCAGAGAATTCAGGTTTTGTTATAGGTCTTCTGTTGTCTATTTGTATTTATTTATTCATTCGTTTCTCTGTGTATTTATTTGTCTATTTATGTATCTGTTTGTCTGTCTGCTTACCTACCTATCTATCTATTAACTATCTGCCTGTCTGTCTACCTGTCTATCTATCTTTCTATCTATGTATCTATTACTATAATCATTTGATGTGTAGGATAACATTGCGGATTTTTTTTCCAAATAACAATTTTCCTTTGATATATTAGATTTTCTTTTCATTTTTCTTAATATATTCGTTACCTTTTTGGTTATTGCAATAGGGATGCTCCTGTACTTTTGTCCTTAATCCAAGAATAACTGTTATTACTAACAATGTAACTGTAAAACGGATAGAAAGGTTTTCATGAGAAAAAAAAATGTAACGTATCTGATGCACGAATACTCAGTATGATGTGCTGATAAAACGAAGAATAAAACAAAAATGTGCGATATATGAGGCAGAGATGCAACAATTTACACCAAGGTCGACACTGAACTTGGCTTATCATTATTGGACAAGCGAGGGTTGCATTGCATAGAAAAGCGTTTTATTCGTGTTCAAAGTGCATACAGTTATTAGTAAATAAATATGTGAATATGTATGTGTGTGTGTGTGGGCGTGCGTGCGTGCGTGCGTGCTTAAATCATCATTTATTAGTCTAGCGGACATGCATTCGCCTATTTTAGTGACTGTTCTCTCCTCACCCTCTCTTCCTCCCTATTATCAAAACAAAGATCACTGTGAATAATGTCTTCCCTCCCTTGCCTAAGAAACCCGTTTTCTTTGCAACAAGCTACTTTTAAATTTCCCATTTTCTTTGACAATATATTTTCCCATTTCCTTATACTGTTTTGTTTTTAAATGTGGTTTCCCGTTTTCTATAATTCAGGTGACTTACAGCGAGGTCTTATCCTTGAGTCGGCTTGACTATCCATACTCCACGAACAGGTTGAAGATCATTCACGATTTCAATACAGGTGAGATCAGATATTGTACCGAGGAATAAAAAAGAAAGTATGAATGAGAACGAATAACTTGACAGTAAAAGAGATTTATCTGACGCATTTTATATTTTTGATGAAGATACGATAGAAACACGGCCAGTACTTATCTTGCTCAGTAGAATTATTCATTCCCATCTATATAATTTCCTACTATGTTCATGTGATGAGGAGATAAGATATTAATTCAGGTCTTCGATTTGGAGTTTAATTTGTAAGTCACATATGGTGTTTTATCTATTAGCAGTACTTGTAGTACTAGTTGTAGCACCAATACTATTATTGTAATTCTTATACTTGTTGCAATTGTCGCTGTCATAATCGTTATCATCACCATCATCATATCATCATTGCATAAGCCAATCCAATTAAATAGACCTATCAAATAATGACATTATCATCACCATTTTTATTCTTATTACAATAATAATTGTTGCAGTTGTTTTTATTATGATTATGATCATTATCATCTTAAATGTACTTTTCCAATGAAACAGTTGTATCTAGTAGCACCGTTATCATTCTTATGATTATTATTAATACTATTGCGGCATCACTAATAATATCTAATTAAATAAGTCCTTCCATTGTAATCGATCTAAGTAACATCTTTGTTACCACCATTACCATTCTTATAATGATAATTATTGCCGTTGCCATTATAATGATCATAGCCATATCCAATATCTAATCACAAAATAGGCCTTCCTAGTAAAGGATAAGAATGATAGCCATATCCAAGATCTTAATCACCAAAAATTCCTTCCCTAATAAGAACAATGATCATAGCCATATCTAATATCTAATCACCAATTAGGCATTCATATTTAAGAACAAGGGCAATAATCATAAATAGTATCTAATATCTAATTAGCAAATAGGCCTTCCCTAATAAGTACAAGGACAATAGTCATGTATAATATCTAATTACCAAGATTCCTTCTCTAATAAGAACAATGATAATTTCCATATCTAATATCTAATCACCAAATGGGCTAACCCAATTAAGGACAATCCACCCTTTTATCAGGTGTACAGTACGTGATCGACCGCGTAAGTGGCAACTGCAATAGGACATGGATACCTGCAATCACCTACGATTCAAATATGAGTAAGTTTTAGTTGGAAAATATTTTGGGGGATTTGTGATGTTATTTTGTATTGCTTTTCGATGTCTTTTATGTCTATACTGTTCTTTGTTTAAGGTCGAGTAAGGTTAGTATTGGTTTTGTAGATATTCGAATTAATTCATAGATCGATTGTATTTTTTCGGACGTAGATATGAAATTGATATGAATTTGTATTTCCTTTTGTCCATAATGTTTTTGTTGTTTATATAGATATTTAATTGTCTTTTACTATTTCATTATCCAAAACTTTATATTTTTATTTAATTCATTTATTTGTTTATTTATCTTTTATTTGTATTTTCTCTTGTCCATAATGTTTTTGTTTTTTTCGGGGGGGGGGGGTCAATCTTGCCTAATGTTTATTTGCATTTGAACACTTTATTTATTTTATTCGTTTATGCAGCCTACTTATTACGTTAATTTCTTTTTATTTTCTCAGTATGTTTATTCCCCGTTTATATCTATGTATATATTTTCTGTTCGTCCATAACATTGATTTGTTGTTCAGATCACGGTAGTCTTTTCTAGTTTTCTCTTATGTTTATTTTATGCACCATCCATATTTAAGGATGCAGACGTCCAATTAGACAAGGATCAACTGTTTCAGCTGGATAAAAACAATCAGCAGTAGCCTTTAATCTACGCTTAACTTATTCCTAAAGCCACAAGATGTCTTATATACTTAACAGTCTTTCCTTACGTTTATCTAATGCAACAGCCACACGAGTTGAATCTGAATGAGCTGTTTCATTCGAACAAAAATATACGACTTTATAGCCAAGACTCCACGGTAATCTACCCTAATATGATAATAATTATAATAATAGTAATAATAATAATAATAATAATAATAATAATACTTGGTCTCAATCAGTTGATTCGCTCGAAGAAAAATCCATAATAAACTTCCTTAATCTAACCGAAACTCCGAAAAAATGTAACTTAATGTACTCAGTCTACCTATATATATATTCGAGTAATTAATAATTTGCTAATTAACTTCTGATTAACTAATTCTTTCCTTTTACTAACTTCCCTAAACAAACGCCATGTTGGGCCCCAATCAGCTGTTTCACGCGAACGAGAGTACATAGTAATCTTCCATAATTTAACCGAAATTTTCTAAATGTACTCAGTGTTTCCAAAATTCAAATTTATTCTAACTCCATATACTCATTCAACCTTAAACAAAAAGATCCAAGATAATATAACTTAATGTACTCAGTCTCCCTTAATAAATTAACTTTTTATAGTGTATATAAGTACTGTAAAACATATTCATCATCAATTATTAATAATTGTGGTGTCTAATAAGACATTGTTTTCATTCCTTTTACGAACCCACCCAAACAGACGTCATGCTGGGCCCCAATCAGCTGTTTCACCTGGACGACTCCTTCGCCTTCGTGGGCCAGCGGGACACGCGAGGGTCTGTGGCCGATCTGTGGACGTCGACGAGGAGTGACCTGCCAGACCCTGCCACGGGAGGCTTTCAGAATTTCCCGAAAGCTGTTTTGGAGTATTATTTTGTTACGGTGAGAAGGGATTAGTCAGAGTTTATGTTTATATTTGTAAAGTTATTGTTTTGGATTTTTTTTTTTTTTTTTAGGTGAGAATTTTATTTGTACATATTTATTTATTTATTTATTAGTATTACCTGTTTTGGAGTATTATTTTGCTACGCTGAGAGGGGATTGGTCAGATTTTATGTTTATTTTTGTAAGGATATTGTTTTGGATTTTCTTTTTTTTTAGGTGAGACAATTTTATTTGTACATATCTATTTATTTATTAGTATTTGGTGTGTATATATTTTGTAATTGTTTCGGATTAAAGTGTTTACTTTTTATTTTGAATATTCATTTATCTAATGTTGAAGTGTCTGATTTGTTTCAACTGTTTATAAGTATGATTTCGTTATGGTAAATTTAAAATATTTCCCTTTCTTCATTTTTCATTTATTGTTTTATTATTTATACATCTTTATTTACTTCTGTATTAGCATATTATCTGAAAATAATTCTTTACGGTGAGATATTAGAGATTTTTAAACTTTTCGGGGCACGTAAAGATGTTTGTAATTGTTTTTTCAAGCTTAAATATTTTCATGACTGTTTTTTAAGTTATTTTCTGGATTTTTTTTCTGAACTGCTTTCAATATATCAATATTTCTTTATTTTAGTATTGTATGTGAATATATCCCTCACTGTTCTGAAATATTATTTCGATATTAAAAAGATAATTACGTAACAGGTTTAAGATATCTAAATATTTTCTTGTGTTGGAATATTTAAGCATTTTGAAATTGTTTGCTTGTATTTGAATATTTTAGATTATACATATATTTTCGTTTAGGATTTCCTCAATATTTCTTTAAATCTAAACATTTTCTTGAATGCTTCAAAGTGTCGAAATATTTCCTTGGTTGTTTTATAATGTTTAAATATTTTGTTTTTGAAATATCACTTTGTTACCGTGTAAAGCATTTTCTTAATTGAATAGTCCTTTCTTTGTTTTTGTTATCATAATCGTTATTATTGTGTTGTTGGTGTCATAGTTATCATCATTATCATCACATTATTATTATTGTTACAATCATTATTATGATTATTGATATTATTTTCATTATAATTGTGATCATCATCATTATCATCAATATTATTATTATTATTATTGTTTTGATATTGTCATTATTATTATTATTATGATGATGATGATGATGATGATGATGATGATGATGATGATGATGATGATGATGATGATGATGATGATGATGATGATTATTATTACATGAATAGTCACTAACATTATTATTGTAAACATCATCATTTTTAGCT